TGGACAACCACAGTGGCACATACCTATAATCTCAGCACTTGGGAGGCCAAGTCAGGTGAATTCCACTGCTCTGTGCATTCCAAGTCAACCTGTTCTACATAGCAAGTTCTAAGCCAACCAGGGGTATTTAGTAAGATCTTATCTAAAAATAAATTGTAGTTTATGTCCAGTTTCCATCTCTGCATTTTTGCTGTTGATATTTTTATTTTCAGGTTGGTTAAAGCAATGGATATACCAGATGAAGCGAGTATCTTGCATTTCATTTTACTTTAGTCTTTAGAGGAAGACTTTAATGAACCCATATCCATTGTGTTTGTATGAGAAAGGCAAAGACCAAAGGTGAATGGTGTGGAGAGCCACAGCCTCCGCCGCCATTACAAGATGGCGCCGGTATCCGGACCTTCTTAAAAGTAAACATCCTGCCACACCCATAAGGGGCGTGCACAAGAGCCTGCTTTTCCCCGCCTCCTCCCGTGGCATGATCTCCAGCAACCAATCCGCTTCTTATGATCTCCAGCAACCAATCCGCTTCATATACGTCACAAATGGGACCTTTGGGGCGTATATAAGCAACAGCTCTCCCACTTCTCGGGGTCTTTGGTCTTCAGTCTTCAAATAAACTGCTGCAGAAGGATCCTGATTTGTCCTCCCGCGTCGTTCTTGCTGGCGAGACGGAAAGCGGTCGGGGACATTAGAGAATAAGAGTCTGCAGTGTGGGTTCTTGGACAGAACTCCTATATTAAAATCAACCCACCCAGGGCTCACAGACCATTGTGGAAGAGGGTAAGGAAAGATTATAAGAGCCAGGGAGGAGGTGCATGACATATGGAAATAGAGTCCTACAAGGCTCCTGGGACCCTTCTCATAGAACCTACAATAACAGTGTCAGCATACACAAGACCCATGCAAACTCAAGCAGACAAAAATCCAGCACAGAACTGTAGAAATGGACAGCAGGCCCCAATATTAGTCAAAGAATTATTGGCAGCTGATTACTGCTGGGTGAGGAAGAGCTGATCTTAAAGGGAGGGACTCTACATAGGCTAACTAGACCTCAGTGGATAAATTTGCACTGAGGGACATCTGGGGACACTAACTTGACATGATAAGCCTCAACGCAAATGACAGACTGTATGAATTCCAGTGGAGGGGGCTGTGGGGGGGGCAATGGGGAAGGGACTATAAAGATGGTTAAGATGTTCTATATGAAATACACAAAAATTCAATTAAAAATTTTTAAACAGTTACATGCTAATAAGAATGATTTTCAGAATCTAAGTCTCAAAGTAATATAAGATGTGGGGGCTGGAGAGCTAACTCAGCAGTTAAGATCACTGGCTGTTGATGGCTAACAATTGTCTATAACTTCAGTTCCAGGGATCCAACACCCAATTCTGACCTCTGTGGATATTGTATGACACGGGTGCACTTAAATACATACAGGCAACATACTCATACACATAAAATAAAAATAATACAATATTTTTTTAGAAAATAGTATCAGATGCCATATTATTACCTTTTATTTTTAAATACAATAGAGATTAGACTACCCAAGAGTACATAGGGGTAAGATAACCACATTTAGAGATCTAATACATAACAGGACTGCAGTTAAAGTTGTATTGTATTAGGAAAACCTCTCTCTCTCTCTCTCTCTCTCTCTCTCTCTCTCTCTCTCTTCCCCCCCCTTCTCTCTCTGACAGGATCTCATTACATAGCTGCTACAAAGCTAGGTGGGGCTCAAACTTGTGATCTTTTGGCCCCAGTCTCCCTACTACTGGGATGTCAGGCCTTCACCACCATGCCAGGCTTGTTTCAAAAGTGTTTAATAAATAGATTTTATCCACTCTTCCCACAAAAAAGTTGACTATAATAAGATGATAGATATGTTAATCTGCTTCACTATGGTAGCACTTTTCTATCTAAAGCTTCATATCATAAATTTTAAATACAGATGATAATTTTTTTAAAAAAGAATATATGTGAAAGTTGGTCACAAAAGTTCAAAACAAATTTCAGTTCAAGGTCAACAATGCCAAAATTTATAGCTCTTGAGGCAAAGGATACATCTAATAACTTAATAAGCTAATAATTTAATAAATGATTAAACACAAACAGTACAGACATAAAAAGAAACATCCAATTAGATGATAAACTAAGGTAATATACTTAAAAGTCACACTCAAGGGCCAGGTGTGGTAGCGCACGCCTTTAATTCCAGGACTTGGAAGGTAGAGGCAGGAGGATCTCTGTGAGTTCAAGGCCAACTTGGTCTACATGGTGAGTTCCAGGACAGCTGGGGGCTATAGGGAGACCCTGCCTCAAAAAAAACAACAACAAAAAAGTTACACTCAAGTGTCACATCTCAAATCTTGAATCATAGACTACCAAATCTTGCAATAACTTAAGATAACTTGATAGGTAAATTCAAGAAGGTACAGGATCATGTATTAGTTACTCTTCTCAATACCATGAAAAAATGTCCAACACAAGTCACTTAAAGGAGGAGAGATTTGCTTTGGCTCATAGTTTTTGAAAATTTAGCCCCATCATAGTGGGGAAGACACAGGGCTGGAATGACGTGGTCCTTGGCAACAAGAGTTCATGGTTGATGCTTGTTCACAGGAGTATCAGGAAGCAGAGGGCTTAGACCAGAGCCAGAAGCAGGTACAACGTACAACCTTCAAGGCCTTCCCCCAAGGAAGCCACTTCAGCTAGCCAGACCACCTGCCCCAAAGAGTCCACAACCTCCCCAAACAGCTTCATTGGCCATTCACATACTTGAGCCTGTGGGGTCTTCAGATCTAAACCTGGCCTCCACAGACCCATGGCCATCTCATAATGCAAATGTATTCAGCCCAACTTCAAAAGCCAGAAACTGTAGGGCTAGGCCTGCAGTAATCCCAGCACTCACGGGGCTGAGGCAGGAGAACTGCAAGCTCCAGGCCACCCTGTAGACTTCAGGTTTTCAAGGACAAGACAGGATGAGTTTCTTTCTCAGAGTGTGCTGCAGACTGAGATAGTATTTCTCCTTAGCAGAAACTCTACTGTTCCAGGCATATACTTTGTCCATGAGTTCAACATGGAGATCCACAAGTGGGCGTTTTCTTGAGGAAAAGAGAAAATCAATTTTAATGCCATGCAAAAGCCAAAGAGAAGACAGATTGTCCTTAGGGTGAAATGAACCAACAGGTATGAAAGTTCTTTGAAACTTGTCCTTTCTAAATGTTCTATAAGCTGCTTAGTGAATATTCCAAACAGTTGGCACCACTCTGGTCCAATGGCCAGACTCTCCGCCCCTAGAGACAGCTGAGTTTTACTCAGGGAATACTCCAGTCAGATAATAACCCTTCTGGATCAGCTATGCAAATGCAGGATGGCTCTAAAAGGCCAACAATACTTCTGGTCTGGGAGCATCTTCTTTAGAAGGTTGCATCACTCCTGTTGTAGCTCTACCCTTCCTGCTAAGCCACCACTGAGGGGACTGGGTGGGGGAAACTATGAGATTGTTCCTGAGGTCCTCAGAGCTACAACCCGGATTGTATTGGACAGGTGACTCAGAAACATTGTTCTCAGTTGTAATTAGGGGGCAGATGAAAAAGGCCAATTAATCTTAAACTTGAGGGGCTAGAGAGATGGTTCAGTGATTCAAAGCACTGGCTGCTCTTACAGAGGACCTGGATTCAGTTCCAGGCACCCACATGGCATCTAATAGCCATCTGTAGTTTCAGTTCCAGGGGATCCATCACCTTCTTCTGACCTCCACAGGCACTGCACACACATGGTGCACTTACATACATGTAGGCAAAAACACTCCTACATACAAAATTAAAAAATAAAATAAATCAATAAATAATTTTTGTTTAAAAATCTTAAACTTGAAGAATATTTTGGCTTCATTTATTTAACTAGGAGCCAGGGAAATGATGTTCCCCTCAGGAAAGTATTCTTCCTAATAAATATCAAAAGTATTTATCCAGGGTTAAAGAGATCTCTGAAAGCCAAGACCCTCAGTAGAACCATGTTTCAAACCATAGGTCACACTGAATCCTATGACTGCATATACTATCATATATATGATATTTATGATGAAATTTATGTTAGCAGAGGGTAAGAAATGCATCCAAACTACAAGCTTACTAACACAAAGTGTTTATAAATTCTTCTGGGCCAGTATCATACCCTCAAACCACCCTAATGGGGAAGGGAAAAGTCTTTCCTCTGGACAGGCATCAAACAAAGCACAATGCTGATCCCCATCTTGGTAGCAGGACAATAAATAAGGGGTCAAGAATCCAGATCAAGGACCTCAGTGGCTCACCTTTCTTGCTTTAGCTGCTGGGAGAGGTTTTTCAGGTACACCGAGGATGAACTGGAGGATTGCTCCAGCTGAGACACATCGGCTGTGCACAGGCTCCAGAAGATGTCCGCTTCTGGGTGAACCGTGCAGGGCCCAGGCTGCAGGACCTTGGGGTCCACATCTTTCATTGCTGGCCCATCCACCTCCAGGCTACTGTCTTCTGGGTGGCCCTCTAACACCTCATAGTTCTGAATAAAAAAGAGCTTTGGTTTCCCTATGAGAGAAGGGCACATGTCTCCCATAAACATCCTCTTGATCCGATCCAAGGAAAATCCTGAATGATACTGATCCATGCCAAGCATGCTTTGGGAGCCTCCTCGGCTCACCAAGACACATACAAAGCTGTCATAGTCCTGGTGTTGGGGCATATGGGCAAATCGGCAAAAAATCTGGATTATATCATCCGTGTTAGGAAACAAGAAGCACTGGACATTATAGCCCAGGGAAGTGAAGGTACCTTCAAGATTCTCTGGAGAAAAACAGAAAACAACAGTGGAGTCAGAAAAGCCCAACAGGCATTGGATAGGAATCCTAGCAAGGTCTAGCCTGCACTACTGATCTGTTTCTGGGTAATGATATTTTGAGGACTCCCAAAACAGAAACAACCTGAAGCACAGCATGCATGACTTTCATGTCCCAGGCTCCTCACAGCAACCTGATCCTAAGACACCACTATCTCTGCCCAGAGCCACCAGTGTATTTGATCACAGTCCAGGTTGAGCTCAATCTAATTCAATAAAATCAAGAAAGAAGAAAATCTTTGCCTTGTCAACCAAAACAAAAGGTATTTTTCTTGAAAGTACATAGGAATAGGAGGCATTTGCAGAGTGTGAATCCAAGCCTGAATCTAAGCCTGGATCCAAATGGTTGCAAAAATGGCAATGTGGGTCATGTGTTCTCTCCACTTGCTGTGGGCTGATACAGAGGCCCTTAGAGCTAAGTTATGTCTATTTCCAAACTGCCCAGTTCCACTCATGATCTGCTCCCAAGAAGAACCAACCTCTGAACAGTGTGAACTTTGGCTAAGAGTCCCCACAGGGCCCCTAAAGAGCCTTCTCCTAGTCTCCAGGAACCTCGAGTTGACTGTGCCTTGACTGTGCAAGGAGTGGAAAGAGCAGCTTCAAGTCTGACAAGTTTGCCTTCTAGTCCTGACCTTACCACCACCTTATGCTGCAGGACCTTAGGAAGGGTGGGACTCCCTAGCTTTAGATGGAAGGGTTAACAGCCACCCAATCAGAATGCTGGGAAGATAAAACAATACAAAGAAAGTTCTTGTTCCTATTATAAACAAACATTAGTTCCTATTCCATTATTTAAAAGATTTTGGTCCATATTCTAGAAGTTTCCATGGCCCTAGAGATATCAAGTCCATTTCTTTCTCACCTGTTCAGTTCATCCTCAGTAGATGAATAAATACACCCTCCTAAATCAATTGTATTTTTTTCTAATATAAAATGGAAACTTCCTTTTCTTCCCCATTCAAAATTCCTTGCTCTTTTATACCACCTGTTACTTTTCTATTCTTTGAGCAATGCCTCTGCTTCTTAATTTGCTGGGCAGAAAAACCACTTTGTCCTAAGTCCAGACACTTGACAAGCATCCCCAAGTTCAGATTGCCTGTCCACATCTCTGATTTGTTTTTGTGTATCATTATTCAGTGACAACCCCTCAGTGCTGTAGGCTTCCAGAAGTCCATTCTGCATTCACCCAAACCAAACAATACAACAATAACTGTAGCAATATAACGTCTACTGTGAACAAAGGCCAGGATAGAAGTTGAGGCAGCACAGAAAAGGATCAAGGTGAAAAATAAATAAATAACTGAAAGTACCTCTGGACTACTGACACAAGTTCTCAATGTTCCACACCAACTAGGAACTACATGAAGGATAGACAGTCACAAATAAGTCAGGCTCACAGCTTCACCCTTCAATCTTCTTGCCCAGCAAACTTGACCAGCCACAAATGAGTTATGAGTGAGAAATCTCAATTGGTCTCCTAGATTCTTAGTTAAAAAAAAAAAAAAAAAAAAAAAAAATTTTTTTAACCAAAAAAAGCCTGGGAAAATGGTATATCCAAGCAGGTGCTTTAGGGCTGG